CTTCTATAGTCTTCCTTATTCATTGCCCAACTTTTATAAGCATATGAGGTCATTTACATGCATATTGGATAAGCGTGACTTGGGTAAGGTGTACCCTTAGTTCTCAAAGTGACATCTTTGTTCTTTAACACTTTAAAGAGGTCTTTTGCAGCATATTTGCTTAATGCAATACATTGTTTGATTTCTTGACTGCTGCTTCCATGAGTATTGGTTATGGATCTAAGCGAAATGAAAGTCTTTGATAACCTCAATCTTTTCTCCACTTTTTGTTGTTAGGTTCCATCGAGTTGGTTCTGACTCATAGCAACTCTCTATAGAGTTTCCAAGGAGTGGCTAGTGGGTTTGAACCACTAACTTTGTGGTTTGCAGTCCAGTGCTTACAGTGCCATACCAGGACCCCATCGACATATTATAGTTTATTATTTATTTTTCTTCCCATCTTGATGATGTGTTCTTTGTAGAGTCCAGCTTTGTAGATGATTTGTTCAGCATGCAGATGAAATTAGTAGGGTGAAAGGATAAAACTTTGCCTGTATTAGTTTGTGTTCTCTAGAGAGTCCTTGTGTGGTGCTGTGGGTTGAAGAGCTGGACTGCAGGGTCAATTTCAACTGCAAGGTCGGTGGTTCAAACTTACCAGTCAACTCTCATTATTGCATATGCCATTTTGTTGAAGTAAATTTCTCATGTATGTTTATATGCTTCACTGGCTTTGTTACCTCTGTTGTTATTGTTGTTGTTAAGTGACATCAAATTGGTTCCGACCAATAGTGACCCTGTATAGGGTTTCTGAGGAGTGGCTGGTGAGCTTGAACCACCAACCTTGAAGTTCAAACTGATTTTGCAGTTCAGTGCATTAACCTACAGAGCCACAGTGCATAAGTACACAGTGGCTCCATAGGAAAAACACTGGACTGCAAACAACAAGGTCAGTTCAAGTCCACCAGCTGTTGCTTGGGAGAGGAGGCTTTCTGCTCCTGCAAAGATTTACAGTCTTGGAAACCCTAGACAGGGTTGCTATGAGTAATAACCAACTCAATGGCACTTAGCAACAACAACAGTACTTTACCCACTGTTATCTTCTCCACACGCTTAGGTATGTAAGCCTTAAGATTTCTTCTTTGCATAGACAAACACATAGACTTGCCAACATATATATAAAAAGGATACAGTGAAATCAGTAAGAGCCAGAACTTGATGGGAATGCCTTATTTTTCGTGGTTTTGCCTTTAACAAGATGTAGTCTTGCTACTTTGCTATAACTCTATATTAGTGGAAAATATTTGAGTTTTGCTTCTCTGGCAGGTTTCTGCCTTACATAGGTTCCAGATTTTATAGGTTTTACTGTATTATACCTGATTGCATTATTCTTCAAGTGTTTTCTTGTACTTAATTATAGCATGGGCATTTTTCAAAGCCATGAATAGAGTTCCTGCATGCTTTTGAACAACTGCAAAAATATTCAATGTATTTATGTATCTATTTATTTCATGGTGGAAATTGGGTTATCACCATTTCCTTTCTTGCTAGAAAAAAGAAACTTAGAAAGTCCATGTGTACATACACATTCCTCCTGTACAAGAATTTCTACATCACAGACTCCTACAAGGCAGACCGTTGACTCATAGAGTATGAGGATTTTAGAATAGAAATACTGACTGCCAAATCACTTTCTTACAAATGATACAAATTCATACACCCACCAACAGGATTGGGCATTTCTCCACACCCTCCCAACACTGAAAACTAAAAATGAAACTTCTTTGCTTATCTTAATTTGGAAAGCACATCTCACTGTTCTGTTTTGCATTTTTATGGTCACTGGCACCATATGCTTTTTCATCTCTGTGGCAGAGTTAACATTGTATGTGAAATCCTACTGCCCCAAACAGGTCCATCCCAGAATGACAGCTTTGTGATGAAGTCTTGCCCAGTGTTGTAGGTGACACTAATTATGCTCTTCTTCATTTTACCTATATAATGGTATAAATTATCTACCAACTGCATTGAGGATGATGCCCATTTGTTAACATATTTTTTAATTTATTGGTGCCTTGCACATACTAGGTGTGTATTGCTGTTGATTTAATGATTAGATGTTATTCTCTTTGGTTCTCTTTAACTCTACTGTTCTCTAGTGCTATTATTCCAATGATCTTAGACTTTGATTGCAGTTTTAGGAGGCAAAGAATCCGTCTTTAAAAATGAGCATAAATCCATTACTCCTTACTCACATGTACATCAGGAATGGGCTTGGTTATCAGGGAGATTCCCAGGACAATTAGAATGGTCACAAAAAAGAGGATGATAGCAAAGTAAAGATAGTGCACTCCACAAATAATCTTGGGACAGTTACTGGCAGCCAAGCAACTCCCCGTTCCATAGGCAAACTCTGAGATCATACGAATAAGGCCAATCACGAGTCCAGTGATTAGGCCCCAGAAAGCCCCCTGCAAAAGAAACAAGAATATAATCCAATTGATTAGGAAATATGAGAAGCTCATTATTGCTACTCATAATTTTCACCCTGCGTGCTTTGTTCACTGAAGGATCAATAAACAGCTAGTACAAACAGGGAAAGTTAAAACAACAGGTTCATGAAGTGCTCTCCGTGGTCCTGAAATATCATTGCTGTGTTGATTCTCCAAAACCAGAACACTGCTGTCTATGTTGACTGAAGATGAAAATTTCCTTGACTTTTACATACAGATTTTAAGAACTTATGAGCTATTTATATGATAAAACAAAACTTAGACTTAGGTTACACATTTTATAAAATTGATGTTGTTGTTTTAGACTCATAGTGACCCTGTATAGCATTTCTAAAGAGTGGCTGGTGGGTTTGAACTGCCAACCTTGTGGCTAGCAGTCCAGTGCTGATCCAACAGTGACACACTAGGACTTCATAAGCCTACAGCACCCAATATTTCCAGGCAGTCTCCAATTCAAATATATACAGACCTGACCCTGCTTAGCTTCTGAGATCAGATGATTGGGTGTAATCAGGGTGGTACATTGATATTGTTGTTGTTTTTAAGTGCTGAGCCCGTTCCAACCTATAATGACCCTGTATGGGGTTTCTGAGGAGCATCTGGTGAGCTTGAACCACCAATCTTGTGGTTCAAACTGACTTTGCAGTCCAGTGCATTAACCCACAGTGCCACACCAGGTCCCATTAAGCTTTTGGCAATTAAAAGCATTTATTTCTCTGAGAACTTGTGTCCTCTCTTACACTGCTCAGTATTGTTTAAGGGAAGCAACATTGCATAGTGGTGAAAATATGAGCATTTTACATAGCAAGACCTGAACTTCAATCACAATGACTCCATTCACTAATTTTAAGTAACTGTGTGAGGCACGGAGACATTACTCCTTTGATCCTGTTCCTCATATGAAAATTATAAAATAAAGCAAGCATCAGAGTCTTGATGTGGCTCTGTACGATAAGTACTGGACTGCTATCTTCAAGGTTAGTGGTTCAAACTTTTCAGCCACTTCTTGGAAACCCTATGCAGGGTTGCTATGAGTCAGACCTAACTCGATGGCACTTAACAGCAACAACAAAGCTAACCTTTAGGAGCAATGAAGAGATTAAATGCACATGGTCTATGCTATTGCTGTTAGTTCTGATTCATTGTGACCCCATGTGTTTTAAAATAGAACTGTACCCCATAAGGTTTTCAAGGCTGTGCCCTTTTGAAAGCAGATCATTAAACCTGTCTTCCAAGGTGACACTGGGTATATGCTTAACTATTTATGCCACCTGGGAACTTCATAATGATCTCTAATAATCAAACAAGTATATATGTGCTTAGGTACACATGTAATGAATATGTTTTTTTCCCTACAATTAAATATTTACTTTTTAAATGTTTTATTGTGAATTATGTGATAGTTTACATGGGAGAACACTAGCTTTATATTCATCCTATTGTACATCGTTTCATTGCCATGATTACAAATCCCTCCATGCATCATCAAGCAGCCAAAGGGTATATCCTGCAAGCCTGCCCCTCGATAATCAGCACACAGCCCCTCTCCCTCTCTGGGTCTAGAGTCCCCAGCTGCTCCATCTCTCCATGTCATCATCTCTGCCTCCACCTCTGGCATCACTGTTTCTCTGGGTAGGGTCCCATACTCCACTTTTTTCCCTTGCTGGTCCCAGGGACCTCCACTCCTAGACTGCAAAGTCAACCACTCCCCTCCTTTTGCTACAAAATGTCTACCTTTACATTTCCATCCCTTACAAGCAGTCCTGATAACAATTATTCACTATTGTACCACAAGAGACCTATCTACATCTCCTTTCATCAGCTCCGCCTAGACAGATTGGATGCTACTCAGTGGAGATTCTACCTAGCTCCATGTCCTCCAGATTGAGGCTACCTCTTGAAAGTTTATAAGCCAGTCACTTTTTGCCTTTGTAGCACCCTCATTTTGGGTAGCTAATGTCCAAGTTGCCCATCCTTGTCTACTCTGTGTATGGAGGGGGTGGGAATGATCCTCGCTGTAAAGATTTGTTCCCTCTTTTGAGCTACTGAATCCATAGGTGTAGCAGGTTGATTAAATTGTATCAGATTACTCTTTTTTCCCTTTTCTTTCTTCTTCTAGTTGAGTTCTGATCATCCAGCCATTGAAGTATGAATATGTTTTGAACCCTTATTATTGTGGTAG